GGAAAATGAAGTGACAGGGCGGGAAACATCCAACGGAAGCAACTGCGGCCTTTTCGGCTCTGACACCATGCGCACTCCCTGGCTGGCGCGACCATCGCCTTTTCTCCATGGCTGAAGCGGTATATGACTGAGAAGCGCCCTGTGGGCAACTTGCCGCCTCCTCCCTTTCGAGCGCGTTTGCAATCGCGACTCCTGCTTCTTCTTCTCCATGGCTGCAGAGGCACATGACTGAGAAGCGCCCTGGGGGCAACTTCCGCCCTGTTTCCGTTCTAGCGCGTGCATGCTGCTTCAACCTGCGCATGTGGGTTTAGCGTGTTGGCGCGCTTCTGTGGTTTTAGCTTTCGAGCAGTTTGCACAAGGCTTCGCGCTGGGGTGCTTACAGGGGGGAGGAGTGCGACTGACACGGCGCTCAAGGAAGTGCAGGGAGCTCAAACGCACAGGAAGCAAAGGGAAATGCCAGGAAACTCTCAAAGTTGCAGGAAAGACGCGCAAAGGAAGTGAGCTTCAAACAGGGAAGTGACAGAACAGGCAGGGCAAGGTGCCCGGTGGCCGGCTGTGTCGCGTCAGCGTGTAAATCCGGCCACCGGACGTGATCGGGCCGCAGGCCAAAGCCCCGGTAGGGCTTACCGCGCAGAACATGCGCCGACCATGCGCCGACCATGCTCCGACCATGCGCATACGTTTTGTGCTGGGCCTGCCCTTATAAGGGGCGAAGGATTCGCGGATTGGTTTAGCCGACTTTCGAACATTTTTGTAGCATCTCCCGGCAGCGCCCAAAAACGAGTATTTTTAGGGGGTGCCTAATACTGGACTACACCCCCAGCATTGCCAGCATCATCCCGGATGATGCGGATGATGCTATGCATGCTGGCGATGCGGGGATGCTGGGGATGTTGTCGCCTAAGTCGGCCCAATTTTGCCGAAAACGTGCAACCTGAAAATCTCTGAAGTGGATGGAAAATGGCCTGGATTCAAATCTCAAAATCCTAAAGTCTTAGATTCTTAAAATCTTAAATTAAAATCTAACAATCAATCTTAGAATCTCAAGATCTTAAAATCTTAGAACTTAGAATCTTAAAATCTGAAAATATAAAAACTTCCTAATGTCTTCGAATCTTGAAACCTTAAAAACCTTATGTCTTAGAATCTTGAGATCTTAAACTCTTAAAATATGAAATTCCTAAAGTCTTACAATCTTAAAATCTCAGAATCTTAAAAAGCTTTAAACACTTAAAATTCTTTAAACCTCGAACAATTGAAATGTGAAAATCTTAAATTATTAAAACATTACATTCCTTCAATCCGGGCTATATTTTAACTTCCTTAAACTCTTACTCTTGAATTTTTGGAATCTTGAAACCTTAAGATCTTAAAAATTACAACCTTAGAAGATAGCATCTTGCAACCTGAAAATATAAACATCCTCAAGTCTTCGAATCTTGACTTCTTAAAACCCTCATGTCGTTGAATCTTCAGATGTTAAAATGTTAAAATATGAAATTCCTAACTTCTCAAAGTCTTAAAATCTCAGAATCTGAAAAGCTTTCCAAACTTAGATTCTTTAAATCTTGAACTATTGCAATCTGAAAGTCTTAAATTCATAAACAAGTAAAATATACTAAAATTCCTTCAATCCGGGCTATATTCTAAATTCCTTAAACTCTTAATCTTGAAATTTTGAAGCCTTGAACTCTTAGGATCTTAAAATCTTAACTTCCGAAAGTCGCCAAATCTGAAAACCTCAAAAAAATAAAATCTTAAAGCCTGCGAAATCTGATAATGGATGGAAAATGGCTGTGCAATGGCCTGGCTGTTATAACCTTCAAAAACCTTAAATCTTTGAATACTAGAACCTTAATTCTTAAACCATTGAAACCTTAAATTCCGAAAGTCTTCAAATCTGAGACCCTTAGAATCTCAAAGTTTTTAGAATTTTGAAATCTTAACATCTACTCATCGGACTTACAGGAAAGGGAAGTGACAGAAACCCTCATGTCTTTGTTAAAATCTTAAAATATGAAACTCCTAAATTCTCAAAATCTGAAAATCTCAGAATCTTAAAAGCTTCAAAAACTTAAATTCTTTAAATCCCGCACTATTGCAATCTGAAAATCTTAAATTCAAAAACAAGTAAGATATAATAAAATTCCTTCAATCCGGGCAATATTCTAAATTCCTTAACCTCTTAATCTTCAAATTTTGAAGTCTTGACATCTTAAGATCTTAAAATCTTAAATTCCGAAAGTCGCCAAATCTGAAAATCTCACAAAAAAAAGAATCTTAAAGCCTTGGATGGAAAATGGCTGGGCAATGGCCTGGCTGTTATAACCTTCAAAAACCTTAAATCTTTGAATCTTAAAACCTTAATTCTTCAACCATTGAAACCTTAAATTCCGAAAATCTTCAAATCTGACCCTTAGAATCTCAAAGTTTTTAGAATTTTAAGATCTTAACATCTACTCATCGGACTTGCAGGAAAGGAAAGGGAAGTGACAGAACGGGCAGGGCAAGGTGCCCGGTGGCCGGCTGTGTCGCGTCAGCGTGTAAATCCGGCCACCGGACGTGATCGGGCCGCAGGCCAAAGCCCGGTAGGGCTTACCTTCAGGTATAAGGCCGCGCGCCCCATGCCGCCGACCATGAGCGGACCATGCGGGTACGTTTTGCGCTGGGCCCGCCCTTATAAGGGGCGAAGGATATGCGGATTGGTTTAGGTGATTTTTGTAGCATCCCCCCGCGGCGTCCAAAAACGAGCGTTTTTGGACGGTGCCTAATACTGGACAACACCCCCAGCATTGCCAGCATCATCCCGGATGATGCGGATGATGCTATGCATGCTGGCGATGCGAAGCAAGGGGCTTAAAATTGCAGAAAGCGAAGGGGAAATGCAAGGGAAACAGCATGAAGAAGGCACTGGAGAGGAACCAAAATGCTGGAAAATGCAGGCAGAACGCGAAGGGAGCCGGAGGATGGGAACGAAAAGAAATTGTTGCGAAGAGAAACTGAAGAGAAATGAAGGGATGAAAAGAACTAAAGGAAAGGAGTGCGAGCAGTGAAGGGGCGTTCAAGGAGATGAAGGGAGCTGACATGAGCGAAAGGAAGTGCAGGGAAATGCCAGGAAACTGCGTGACATGCAACGGAAATGAAGTTCAAATCCCGGGAACTAGCAGGAATTAAAGGAAAAGGAAATGATAATTTCCGTGCGGGGTCAAAAAACCGAGCGTGTTTTTTTGTTGTTTTTTTGGGGGGGGTGCCCGTAGTGGACACCATCCTTGCAGCACCTGCATCATCCGGACAAAAAGGATGGACAAAAAGGATGCAAAATTGATGGAAATGAAGGGGCGTTGATGAAAATATTTAGGAATTTGGAGGGACAAGGGATGATGGAAAAGGTGTGGAGGATTGATGGAAAGTTTCTGGACAAGGCACTGATGGCATGAAAGGAAAACGGATTGCAACAGGGTGCAACAACTGAGCATCCATGGTTGCTTCGGATGATGCAGTCGATGCAGGGGGTGGGGATGCTGGGGATGTTGTCCACGGTGAAGGGGGTTTGTGGGGAAATGAAGGGAAATGGGGGAAATGAAGGGAAATGTGCGGACGTGATCGGGCCGCAGGCCAAAGCCCGGTAGGGGTTACCTTCAGGTATAAGGCCGCGCGCCCCATGCCGCCGACCATGCGCCGAACATGCGCATACGTTTTATGCTGGGCCCTCCCTTATAAGGGGCGAAGGATTTGCGGATTGGTTTAGGCGATTTCCGAGGATTTTTGTAGCATCTCCCCGCAGCGTCCAAAAACGAGTATTTTTAGGGGGTGCCTAATGCCGGACTACACCCCCAGCACTGCCAGCATCATTCCGGATGATGCGGATGATGCTATGCATGCTGGCGATGCGAAACAAGGGGCGGAAAATTGGAAGCAGGCGTGACTGGAAGTCCACGAAATGGACATCAAAGGAATTGCACGAATTTGAGGGGGACACTGGAGAGAAGCCAAAATGCAGGCAAATGCAAGGTCAGACGAGGGGAACCGAAGAAGGAAACGAAAACAAATTGTGGAAATTATGGAAAGCGAAGGGATGTGCAGGAAACTGACGTGGAATGGGAGGCGGACTGAAGTCACGGAAACTGAAAAGAACAGAGGGGAGGACTGCGACTGACACGGCGAAACTGTCGAAGATGCAGGAAACACGCGCAAAGGAAGTGAGGTTCAAATCTCGGGAACTGATCGGAATTAACGGAAAGGGAAGTGACAGAACGGCCAGGTCAAGGTGCCCGGTGGCCGGCTGTGTCGCGTCAGCGTGTAAATATCCAAGCAATCTAAGGTTCCAGGTTGGTTTTGAAAAGCTGTGGGCGGGTAAGGTCCTCCTAAAGTGATCTTTGGTTCCCCTCCCGCGCAAAGCTTGCGGCCCAAGGTGAAGTGCACAAAAACGAAGACTTGGTGGGATGCAGTTGGGTGGGAAGTCCGCTGGTTGTTGGCTTCGCAAGCTTGCAACGGCTCTCACAAAAACGAGCTGCTGCTCGCAAAAGAACGACGAGAAACAACAGGAAGAAAAGATATCCCTGTCCAGCAGGCATTCCCCCTACCCGAAACCATCCAGACACCACTGCCGAGAGGAATCTTGAGCCTTTGTAACCATACAGAACACATGAGTCATACTCAAAACCATGTTTCCAGAATCACGAGGGCGGATATCCGCACCAACCTTAACTTGCCCGGGTTTTGATTGTGACTCATGTTTTCTGGTTTTCCTTTGCACCCAATCCCAGAAAACCAATGAGAAACTCTGCCGGAGAAACCAACCTTCAAAGACCGCAACAAGAACCCAACAAAAAAGAACAAAGGGAAGGCTCTCAACGTTGAAACACCTCTCTCATACCCAAACCAGGATCTAAACTCTCAGAAAACCAACCAGAAACCCGAGACCCAAAATCTGGTCCAGGCCATCCCCCCCCTGGCACCGACCCGCTTCTTCGCTTCTTCGCTTCTTCGCTTCGCCGCGCCTTAGAGCTTTGGCACCCGAGGCCCATCTCCAGCGCGTAGCCCGCTGCGCACATGGCCCGCGCCACGCCGCTCTCCGCCGCCTTTTCCGGGGGCCACAAGGCATGGGAGCCGGCTCGGCATTCTTTAGGTTGGACACCCCTCAAAACAAAAAACACAGGTGGCGTTCTTTTTGGTGCCCCTTGAAAACCTACCAACAAACAGAGTATCTCAAAAAAAAATAGACCCAAGCCGGCAGGAATCTTTCATAAAAACGAGGTCAAATACCCACAAAGGATGCAGAAACTCCCTTTCTGGTGTCTTAGAATGTTCAAGCTAATTGAGTAGGTCATCATGGTCAGAAGTGGGAAGAAGAAGTTAGGGGGGTGGTTCACCTATGGTTCTGCGAATCTTACGCTGAGGTAGGTTTTTGCAAGCTTGCCTGCAAGTGCTTGAGGCATGAGGTGCCCGAGTTCAGTTTGCGACTTTGTAACTAGCTTATGACAATTTTGCAGCTTCTACAACTCCAAACTGGAAATACTGTGGATGGACGAAATCCTGCACCACCTAAGAAAGCCTGGAATGATGATTCTCCTGTAAATACCAACAAACAATGGCTTCCCATGGTTTCAAAGTGGTGGAGGATTTTGTCCATCCACAGTACTTAAGGTCCCTAAGAAACGGACTTTGTGGTGAGCTCATTTCCCACCAGGTTCGGGTAAGCCCGCCGCACCACAGTTACAGTAGAGGGAATAATGCAACCGATAATACAACCTAGGGTTTTGGGAATGCAATCAGGGGGAGCTTCAGGAAAACCACAAGACAAGGTCTATAGGGACTCTTCCCTCATTCCCTGCTGAAAACCAGCAAGTCATCCGCCGCAAATTGACATGAAACCCGAAGAGAGCGCGCTTTGAAGCGGAGTGGTGCTCTGAAAGTGACGAGTTTGGCTCGTCTGCACGCGAGTAGATTTTTAAGTGCTCTCTTGTCTATTGGCTGTGGGTCAAACATAATGTAAACCCAGAATGGGTTGCCCCATTCTAGGGATACAAGGACTAAACCTGCGGCCTGGTGGTGTAATTTTGACCCATGCACATTTAAGAGTAAGTAGGGACCACAAACATATTACCTACCGGTGATTCAGAAAAGAAAACTGGTTGCTCTTTTGTTTGGTCAAAGTGAAGCGAAAAGGAAACAAATTTCTGGGATTGTATATTTTAAGAAACACAAGTTTACCAGTCAAGTGGGGCAGCATTTGAGCAGCCAAAACTACGAATGTTCCCCCCACAAGACTTGGGAACTCCAGTGGGAGGGTTGGTTTACAGGGGACACCAGAGCCCATTTTTGGGAGGTTCCATATGTGAGACAAACCCAGTGGCTTCTTCGCCCGGTTTGCGGGGTTGAACCTCCCGGGCGCTAATTTTCCCACGAACTCCACGAGTCCAAAATCTTCACGAGGACATTTCCTGAGGGCATAAGATGTAACCAGTGAGGGTTCCCTGCTTCTTTTTTTGCGGATCGGTATTTACGTGGCGCTGGCGAGACCCCTCTGCAACAAGCTCTTCACTTCTTGTGGGTCCAATCTGGAAAATCCGACACTTTCAACCCCAAAGTGAAATTCAAGTCCAAAGATCCGTTACCATATCGCCATAAAGATCATATTTCCTGACTCTGTTCCATATTTCGTCCACCAAAAAAACAAACTTGTTTTGGAGACCCGAAAACAAGCTAGGTGATCCTCAAAACCCTCCATTTGCTTCAGCCCCCTGGAAAAAAATATTTCCGAAATAGATTCCCTTTAAACCCGACCAGGAAAAATCAACGACATGTTCAGTTCAGCACATGGAAAGAAACCCGGTAAAGTTTCGTTCCCCAAGCCCCCCGCCTGCAGGGTGTACTTCAGGGACTGCGCTTCATCCCGCAGCGGGCGCTGCAAGGCGCCCCCCAAAGCCTGCAAGGGTTTTGGGGGGAAATACTGTGGATGGACAAAATCCATTTCGCACCACCCAAGACACCATGCTTGAAACCAGCAAGTTTCTTGGTATTTACAGGGGATCATATCATTCTAGGGTTTCTTAGGTGGTGCAGGATTTCGTTCATCCACAGTACTTGGGGCGAATACTGTGGATGGATACGCGAAATCCGTTTGCACCACCCTGAAAATGGTTGAAACCAGCACGTGTGTTGGCATTTATGTTGGGGAATCGAATCTTAAATGGTGCAGGATATTGTCCATCCGCAGTATGAGCTCTGGACTTAAACTTACTTGACCGTCCGGGGGACAATTGGGCGGCACTCCATCTGCTCCCCAAACTCATCATAGACTACTTGGGTGTTCGGCCAGCCAAGTAAGTTGTTGGTGACCGTTCCGTTATAACCCACTGAAATAAGTCTTTCGTGAATGTGGGGCAAACTTGGTTTTGGTGGGTCTTTGCAAATCCGGTGTCCTGTTGCAAAAAGGGAAGCTCGACAGTCGAAATCAACTTGACTTTGGGGTTTGGAAATCCAATTTGCTGCAGTTCCCTTATTGCTGGTTGCTATGAACAAAATATTCCCACACAATCCATGTAGGTAGCATATACCAACAATTGAGACATTTGGAGGGTAGAGTGGTTGCCCATTGGGTTCAAAGAATCAGACCCGATCCTGAATCGAAACAAACCCACCTTGTTGTCAAACAAGTGTTTGAACCAGCCCAAAAACCAAAGCCTAGTCCCCTCTGAAACAAAAACAATTCACTCCTGGGGTTGCACTAAAAAGTGTTAACAAGGCTTCGTCAAAGGGAAACCCAAACGCAGGTTCTTTAAAGAACATCTTTGTCTTTGGACATGGAGTTTCCCACGCATCGCCAGGCGCTCTTTTATCGCCATCCTATGTAATTTTTTGGGGGACCGAACAAAATGGCGGGCTTTCCGTTTTGGTTTCCCTGAACAAAAGCCAACCCCGAAAAGACTCAACTTTGTGCTTCTCGCCCCAGCCCCCCGGTCGAGACCTTCAGCACGCCCTTCCGCGGCCGCAAGTCGCGGTGCAGACACGCCAACGCCAGCGCGCCTGCAAGCAAATCGGCTTCGGCGTCGGGACAATTCTGGTGGCCCTTTGGTTTCCCAGCCAAGCCACAAAAAGGGCACCCTCCCCCAAACCAACCCACTGAGCGGAGACTTATAACCATGGCTTTTGTGGGTCATAACCATGGTTGTTCTCCACTTGCGCTTCCACCAACTGACATGGAAGTGCACAACCCCCCTTTCCAAGAGGAAAGTAGTTTCTCTACAGGGGTCTGTGCACTTCCATGTTACTTGGCGGGAGGGTACTTGTGTTGTTTTTACTTGGAGCCAAAGAAAGTAACCGAACTTTGTCTTGACCACTTTCGTATGTGTTTCCGATCCACAAAAAGCGGCTATCTTGTGGGTTAAATTCGGAAACCCAAAACACCAAACCAACTATAAATAACTAAAAAGCTGAGGGATGGCTGGGGAGATATATAGGGTTCCCCATCGTTTTACTGGTGGCAGCAAAGCCAACCCTGTTTCTTTGGCAAAACATGATGTTTACGTTTTTGTCCGCTCGTGTTGAAGGGAACCTCTCGAAGAAACGGAAGAACAAGAACCTTCCTGAGTGGATTGGCCCAACAAGTACACTGGTGTGAAGGTACATGGCGCAACTCACGCTAGGTGTAGAACGATGTAGAGTAGAACTTTGCCATCTTCACCCAACTGAGAGCCTTCTGTCAAGGCCACTAAGATGGTAGTCTCAAGAAGTCCATGAGCTCAGGGAGTGAGGATCTTGGGCGCAAAGGATCCGCTTCTCAGGGAATGAACCCGTGGGTTTCGGGCAAATGAAACTACAACTAGGTCCAGATTTGAGAGGTTCGGACAAGGGTACCGTGTATTTTTTCGGTTTTGTCTATTTTAGTAGGGTTGAACCCTCCCTCAAAAAAGAAACGGCTGATTAGTTGGCACCAATTGCTGGGGGACCTAGACAAAGTACCCAAGTTTTTTGATAATTTCTCGCCCAGAAGTCCACGTCAAGTGGTCATCCGTGCCTTGCACGCTGCCCAACTGCGCAGCCACCTGCAGGTGGAAAAGGCCTTAGATACCGCGCGTGGAAGAATGGAATCCAAAAGCCCCGTCCATTCCTCACTTCCTGAGTTGATGGGCCAAAACAAGTCCAAACTTTTGTTCTGCCACCAAACTTTTGTTCTTACAGTTTTCTTTCTAAACTCTAATTCCCAAACCGGAAAGAAAGGGAACTCCCCGGTAACTGACCTTCAAGGGTGAGCTCGTTTCATCTCCCCAGAGTCAGAATTTCTGTGGGCAACATGCTCTGCCCCAACTGTGGAGTCCACCAATTGTTGCATGTTTGCACTCTTTTCGCACTTTCCAAGGAAAACTCTACAAATGGGGCAGCAACAAAAACCAAGCAATTCCATGGAAGCTTCCCCCTCCAAGCAGCGATCTCCCGGCATATGCCGCAAGTCGGATGTGAGGCTGTTTCAAGGGCTTACACAACTACCTTGTTTGGGTTAAGGAAACCCCGCTGGGCTTTTCTATGCTTTTCTCGATAGCTTCCGCCCGCTCGAAACAGGTTGCCGCCGTTCGAAACTGGCACGGAAGCGCCGTTGAAGGTGACCCTCTGCTGGGCTGCAGGTTGGTGGGCACGAAAAAAAGCCTTCTTCACCCAGGCGTTTCACCAAAGTACTGTCACATATGGTCATCACAGTGGCAAAGAGCGAACATGCTGATCCAGCAAATCGTTCATATGCTGTTTCTTTTTACATGGCAAGCGGCAAATATGTGCTGCAGCAAACAGCAAGCACGTCGACTTGCGCCAGTTCCAGCAGTCTGTCACTTGCAGAAACCCTGGACGACATCTGTGAAAATCAAGCAATGAGAATCATAGCTCATTTCAGTGAACGCGTGGCAACAAACAGGTTTTGCAATGGGTGGGTTTGGATGTTCCCAGACGTACCAACCTTGGTCTAACCTCAAGGTACACCTTGAACAGCGTATGTTCAGGGATTGAATTATTTCGGCCACAACTCAATTGCCCGAAGAACCCAGGAATAAGATGTCAACCTTCTGCGGCCATGACCAATAATGGAGCAAAAGGGGAAACTGTCCAAAGGTTGTTTCACGTTGGGCAAGTGAGATAAGATATAACCTAACCACCGAGTTTTTCTTCAAGGGGGTAGTTTCAGCTTGTGAGCTCCCCCTCCAAAATTACTTTAGTCACGGGTCACGCTCCTTGCCTCCGCCAGTCAACCAGAACATATAAACAATATAAAAGGCCTCCAAAACCCGGACCCATTTCCATGGGATTTCCATGGGCACCGCTTTGTTGGTCGCGCATTAAAGGCCTTTTACCCTCTCCAAAAAAAAGCTGCAACAGGGAAGCAACCCGCTGGGTGGTCGCAGGAGACTCTCACTTGCCCAAAGCGAATCGACGGGTATTTGAAAAAGGTTGACCTTTCATTTCTGGGTCCTTTGGGCAATTGAGAATCAGCTTCCTTCCAGTTGATTGGTCGTTTGGGCATTTCTATCCTCTACAAAAGGGTTAAAATCAAGCACCGACCCAAACCACCAAAGCTCACTTCCTTAAAACAAGTCTGAACTTTCTTTGTTTACCACTAAAACGGTCTCAAAAGCCAACAACTACGTCCATGAACGAGTTCAGGACACCACCTAAACGCTCACTTCCTGAATTTTATTGGCAAACAAAGTCTGACCTTTGGTCGTTTACCACTAAAAAATGGCCTCTCCAAAATCCCGAAGGACAAAAAAACAAGTCCAACTCAGTCCAGGTTGTGCGCTGAGAGGCCCTGGGCCGGCGACGTCAGCACGTTGTGCCCGATGAACTCGGCGCCAGCTTGGACGTGCCGCGCATGGAGCATGGCCAGCGCGAAGTGCACCTTCGCGTACCTGGCGAAATGTGCGACGCCCTGCGAAAAGCGACTCACTTTTAGTGGTTTACCCTGCTACAAGTTGGTTTAATACGGAAAACTCATTGGTTGGATCAAAAAGTTAAAGTCCTAACATCCCTTGGCAAAATGCAGCAAAGGTACATCTGGGCCGCGGCGTTACCTCTGCGCGTCGGTTCGAGTCGAGCCAAACGGTGCGGGTGAGGAGCCCGACTTTTTTCGGACGAGCCGTGTTTTTATTTTGGGGGGAGGGTGCCCTGTTGTTGGCTTTCTTTAGGGCTCCGGTTTTTTCGGAGGAGGCAGTGGTCTTGCTAGTCACAGCAACTGAACGGCTTTCCGAGAAATTGACGCTGGAGCGCTGGAGCTTCGCACTCGGCTTCTCGAGCGGTCGCTCGAAGAAGGGCTCCCATCCGATGTCGGGGGGGAACCCAACATTTCGGGCTCCGCTTTTTTGAGGGTTTCGTGCTTGGTTGGGTTTAAGGGGAGGCCAAAAGGAACATTGCAGCCATTTGTGTTTGGTCCCTGATTTTAAGACAAACATCTCACGGAGGATGGCAACCTAAAGGAGCGACTCCCGGTTAAGAAACACTGGGTAGAACAAAGAGAGTTGAATTCCAATTTGCAGTGGGTCTTGCACCCAAAAAGGGAATTCTCTGGCATGGGTTTTAGGGGTAAGCTTACTGATATGCGGGCCATATACTGCTTAAGGGTCTAAATGTGCTTCTGGAAGTTGACCGCGAGGTTCCAGACCTCAGCCCATGTTGGAGCGCCCAAAACCCATGGACTTTGGTTTCCACGGCTGACATAGGCCTCACTAAACACATGTAGAAAAACAGACAAGTAGGAGAGCCACCTACTTTCCATTGGGCAGGAATCCGTTTTGGGCATTCACGTTTCTGCAGGGCGAAACTTGACTGACGAAGCTTAAGCCAAAGCCCGGGATCAAAGTGGTCGTCGAACCTTGGAAGCCTTCCCTTTCCCCGAAAGAACAAAGAAAGGGTAGACGTTGTTGTTTTAGCAGATTTGTCCTCAAGACTCCCTCCTTCGAATTCCCCAGATAAACTGAGTTCATAAAAAAAAATCCTTTGAACCACTAGCTCCGCCATTTAGCTGCGGAGCTAAATATGTTGGTAACATAGACCCAGGCAGACCCCGGCTTTGAAAATAGCAGAGAGGCCCACATGCTTCGCCGGCACCAAAGACACTGGCTGCACGCTCAGCGTGATGGAAGCGTCGTCGGGCTCTTGTTCCTCGTCTTGCCTGAGGGTTGTGACTCTCTGTGCCGGTGCCTTTTAAAGTCTAATTGAAAGGAAAGCACAATGAAGGGCACGCAATCTTCCATTCAATTTTCTATGCCTATCAATGATTGAACATGTACCTTCACGTGCCGTCATATTTCCATGTTTCCGCTGCAGGGCTATTATTTGCCTGCTTGAAACATTTGACGCGAAAAAATCGGATGGGAGGCTTAAAGGTGGGGAAATATGAAGCGACCTCGCAGTTTTTAGCCGGCGCCATCTATGAGCCGAAGGGGCGTTCGACCTCCAGGCCCCCCTGAACACCTTTGGTTGAGTGGACAAGCCGTTTGTGTGAGTCTTTGTTAGGGACTCCCCCCCCTCCCACAAAAAAAAAGAACAAACAAGAAAGTTGTTGTCCTTTTGCTTCTCCTTTAACACAAAAAAGGAGAACAAACAAGAGAACAAAACAAACAAACAAACAAAAACAAACAAACAAACAAACAAACAAACAAACAAGGGGTTCCCCAAACAGAAAAGACACATTCAATCTTTCCAAAGAGGACTCAGGGGCAGCTCCCGGTCCTGTACTCCGTGGCAGCTCCGTCACCCGGCATGGGCGAATGAGCGAAAGGAGTGAGGCCAAGTTGGTGGCACACGCTGTTGCAGCCTCGGGTAGCCCGTGTTACATACTGTGGATGGACGAAATCCTTTTCTCGGTGGTGCAGGATTTCGTCCATCCACAGTAGCATCTGTGTTGAAGTGTGTTTTGAGCGTATCCGTTCTTGGGTTGGTTGAAAGGGAAACCACAAGGGCAAGCGCTGCGCCGTTTTGGGGTCCCCCCTGTTTCCACACAAACCTTGCACAAACCCAACTGAAGCGCGGTCAGAACCTGAGTACTGCATGGTCATTTGGGCCTCACTAAGAAGAATGTCCAACAGCCAGCGGCAGAGCGCAGATTTCCTTTGCCAACCTAAATCTGCCATGTTCCCAAATTGAACCTCCTTTGCCCACATAAATCTGCAATGTTCTCAAATTGAACCTCCTTTGCCCACATAAATCTGCCATGTTCCCAAATTGAACCTCCTTTGCCCACATAAATCTGCCATGTTCCCAAATTGAACCTCCTTTGCCCACATAAATCTGCCATGTTCCCAAATTGAACCTCCTTTGCCCACATAAATCTGCCATGTTCCCAAATTCAACCTCCTTTGCCCACATAAATTTGACATTTTCCCAAATTGAACCGAGGTCCAAAGTCTGTCTGCACGTCTCCCCAGCGGTTGAGTCAGAATCAAATGCCACTAAATATCTACCCTAAACTCAGCCTGCCAGTTTCCCATTTATACTCACGGGGGTTCAAATCCAAATCCAAATCCAAACCAATCCAAACCACCAATTTCAACCACTTCCCGCACTGACCCCACCCAACCCCAAAGAAGAAATATGATAGTTATGCCTTATTTACCCCTTCTTTACTCTGCTTTTTGGCTTATGGATAGAAGTCTGCTAAGTGGGTTATAACCAGGCTTACTAACCACTTGCTAAGTACCATGCCCCCTTAAGTAATTATAGTCCAGGGTCTCTGTTGGTTGGACCTAGCCTTCACTTCCCACTGGCGAGTGGTGCCTTTTTTCCTTTTTCCTTCTCACGCCGCCTTCTGGATCCTACCTGAAACTTTGTCTGTTCAACATGAGTTGATTGATTCTGGCCCATAGTGAGACGCAAAATGCTTGGTTGCTGCAACGACCCCCTCTGCGAAAAGTTGAACACTTTTCGTGGGTTCAATTCGGACAACCAACTTGATTTCAACGAAAAGTTCAAAACTCTAAGGATCCGTTACCCAATAGCAATCAAGAATGAAATGGAACCCTGGTAATTAAATGGAAGCATGAACTAAAACCTGCGGTCCCCTGGTGGTTCAATTTTGACCCATGCCAATGTGCAAACAAGAAACAACAGGTCTGCGAAGAGTAAATAAAGATCCCCAACTGAGGGACCTACATACCTACATCAGTGGAATTGCTTGGAGCTGCCAGAATATGGGTGTGTCTCAAAATAGTGTGTTGGCCTCAAAACCAGGGTTATTCCGGACAGTGTCCTTTAAAACCAACCTTGAGAAGAGTTTTTGTCCTTGCAAGCAAAACATCTATATCATGGAAGGGTTGATTCCCCGCTCTCTTCATCCATCGTTTTCTTTTGGCCGGCTAACTTTTTGGGGCCACACATGGCCCCAACCAAACGGGCCACACACCGGATGGTTGAAAGGTACCGCCGACTCAGCGCTTAGCGCTTGATCCGAGTCTCGGTGGCTGGCGAAGAAAAGGGCGATCCCTCGCAGGCCCATGTTCCCGCGCCCGAAACGGGAACCGCCGCTCGCCGTATGGATCTGCGGGTCGGTGTACAAGTCGTCCACACCTTGACAGATGGTGCCACCACCGAAGTCTCCAACAACAAACAGAATGGTCACGACTTCTGCCAGTGATTCCACTTCTCTCCATAGGTGGGCAAGGGAACCACCCTTCAAACAGCAAAAGGAAAGTAGCTGGTTGCTCGCTGGTAACTGGGAGCCACTAGCTATAGGTACGCATGAATCTTTAAGCCCAGGTGCTTTACATCTAGCATCTTTGCTCGCCTTAACCCTAATTGGTGGTTGGCTCTGGTGGTTTGGACATTTTGCCTGCCCGCCTTCAAAAGGAAGTGGGGATCAAACCCCCAAACCACTAATACCTGATCTGCATAAGCTCTCCCTGGTCACCATTTCGGGGGTAATTGTGAGTGTCATTTTTTGAGGATTCCCCTTTTAGTGGTTTTAAAGGGCAACCAATCAATTTGCCTGTATAGCAGGCAACTTTACAAATGAAATGGACAAAATGCTGGTTTCCGAAAACTCGCCGTTTGGAGGGTCCCCGAAAAGAACTAGGTCCTCCGGTAGAGGTTAGAATAAGGGTACCCTTTTTTCTATAGTCTATTTTAAAGGAACCCTCCCCAAAAGAATGGGTAGAAGGGCAGTACTGGGGGACCTAAATAAGACGCGCTCAATCACCTGTAGAGACCCAGAGACGTCCCACAGGCCTTGGATGTCCACAACGATTTGCTCAGCACCAGAGGCCTCTGGCAAAAAAGCTGGGCCCAACCACACGCAGGTCCATTTGTGGCTAACCAAGGGACAACACGCTAAAAACAAAAGAGGAACGTGGCTCCTGCTGTCGGGTAACTGGGTAACTGGATTGAGTTGGACAAGACAAAATGAAGATCAACAAAACAGGTTTGGGCTTTGACAAATGTGAAAGAAGAAAACAAAAACATCATGGAGGTGTCCTTTTGAGGGGCCTTGTCAAAACCAGTACTCAACTGGTTCCCGGATCTCCCGAATCCGAACCAATCCACAATCCGCAGTGGGACTGCGGCCAGGAAACCAAATAATCCATCCGCCATAAGGATCAACGGTTGATTTCAATTCAACAGAGGAGCCGTAAAGAGAGGGCTGAAGAAGAGGTCCCGATAATTTTTTTTTATTGGCCCAGGACATAGGACGACGGCTGGGTACATTTGGAACCCTCACCCAGACACTTGGCCAGCTTGCGTAGCCATCTTCCAAACCTAGGTCCTCGAGTAGAGAGGTTAGAATAACGGTACCAACCTTTTTCAGGACGTCTATTTCAGCAGGGGGTTTCCCTCCCAACCAAAAAAGAAAGGGTTAAGTTGGCACCAATCGCTGGGGGCAACCCAGAAACAACCTCCTTGCGCTGCCCTCCCCCCCCCCGGATTCGCGCCTCGAAAGTGAAGTGGGAGAAGGCGTGGGGCGTGTTGCGCACCACCTCGTCCGCCACGAAGCCCGAGTTGCTGGAGTGTTTCGTGAAGCTCCCCTCCAGGAAGGCCTACGAGGCCATGGCGATGCCACGGGTCAAAATCCGAATCGGTTAGCCCCCAGTGAACATCCGATTCAATCCAACCACCAAAATAGGAAGCCTAAAATGGGTGGTGAAATCACGTACCCCAAGATGGGATCCCAGTGGTGTTGACCCACAGCAATATGAAAACCACCATGACCATGACTCACTTCGCGAGTGGGTTGGCCCAAAAAGCCTTCCAAACGTTTGATATTACCACTAAAATGGTCTTCCCGAAACAAGTTTAAAGTCCAGGAACTCAGGAAGTGAGCTCATTCCTGTGTGGTTACCATAGGTGTCCTGTTGGTAACATCAGATGGGTGTCCGTGGTGAATGGATGGCATAAAATAAATAACTAAAAATAAACCAGTGGAGCCAAACCAACCTAAAAAGGACACGGATGGGTGGCTAGAGTCTAGAGGATAATGAGTTGCAAAACGGTGAAGCCATCCCCAAGCCGCCCGGGAAGAATGGGGCATACCGATCGATTCGAATGGCAAATGGTATACTCCTCCAATATGGGCATGATCTTCAACAGTGGCTGAGATGTGTCCATATCCAACTACCCTCTTTCCAACAATCATGGAAGTGGACAGGGGGTCCTCCAAAAGGAAGTAGTCTTCCAAAACCCTCCTGTCCAAGCTCCTGTCAGCTTCCATGATTGTTGGAGGGAAAGTATATATCCCATAAACCTCTGGGGGTACAGGAATAGCTGAATAGCTGGGTGCCTGTCTAAAAAAGAAATGCGACTACCCGTTCACCCTTGCTTTACCTGTCCAAGGAAACGATCCTCTTTTGGGTCTCCCTATTTTGAAAGATACCTTATTAGGGGTCTGCTCGCGCTGCTAAAACTGAGCGGGAACAGAAGAAACCAAGACATGCAAGGGCGTTGAGCCTGACAGGGGGCCTGAAAACTACCCAGACCCACTTAGATTTCGAGGCTTGCCGCACCGCTCAAGTCAGATGGGCCCTGTCAGAACAGCTTCAGCCTGCACAAAACAGACGCACGAAACCCTGGAATCCGCAAAGGTTACCCAAACCAAAACAAAGCCTCGAAATGCGCATGGTCTCTTCGAAGAAAGACACAATAGTTATAGAATAGAAACACGATTGGCTGGGGCTTGCTTTATGTTTTTTCCTTTATCCAACTGCGCAACCTTTGGTAGGGCCCTCAAACGGCTGACAAACACACCCATGTCAGACACATGTTTTCAACAAAATAATTGCATCCCAGGGAAAGAGGGCACCATCGCTTGTTCCGGCTACTCAGTAAGGTTGCCATACATACAAGGGGTCGATTTCCCCATTTGCCACGATGTCCATGATTTCAACCTACCCTTTAGGCTCCTGACCCAAGGCCTACTTACCCGACGTGGTTGGACATCCGAGTTGGGTTCCTCCCCCCAAGATGACGCCAAGATGACCCCAAGATGACTATAAACTCACTTCCTGAGCTGATGGGCAAAAAAAAGTCCAAACTTCTGTTTTGCCCGTTAGATCGTCTTCCCTGAAGTCCATGAACTGAGGAAGTGAGTAATGAAGGGTTTATGTAGGCCTTTCCCGGAGACCAGGCACCTGCTCAGCTAGACTTGGACTGAGCCCTTCACCTCCACCGCAAAGTCCCGCATCCCCGGCGGCCGCTCGGAGATTTGCAGCACCGAAGCCTCGATAAAGTCCACCTACGCAGCATATTCTTCAAGCTGCGTCGGGGGTCGGGGGTCGTTCGGCACTCCCCAGATTCACATGGAACATTTGAGGGTCTGTGTTTTTGAGGGTACCCCTTTTGTGTGCCATTGAAAGGGACACCAAAATCAAAAACAACCTTGCTTGCCCACTTTTCTTGGGGGGGGAGGGGGGTTCTATCAAAGACACGGACATAACAAAGGCCCCTCGCCTTCTTCGGGGGGTTGCAAGCATTGAAGCGCTCCGCATAGCCTTTTGCCGCCATCTGCATGATGACGTCGCTCTCCAAGGCCGACACATCCGGGTCGCTGCTGTACCTGGCCGGATTTTCCGCGGTGTTTTTTTTGGCAAGAAGGACGCGGCCCCGAAGAAATCCAGAGGTTGATTCATCCCGGCTTGCCCCAAACTACCTGATCTACAAGGAAATCCTCCAAATTGGCTGCATGGTATACTTTTCATTGGCCTAGATGTATCTTTTGAGGGACCCCGCCTGTCCGATCCAAGTTGGTGGGAAAACTCCATGTTGATGTTTCGGGGGTCTACACGACATTGTTTGACCTTGTTTCCTTGGTTGCTGTTGAACCCTCTGCAAAAAGTCGAACAGTTTTTTTTAGGTTGAATTCGAAAAACCGCCTTGATTTCAACCAAGAAGTTCAAAAGTCTAAAGGTAGCAATCAAGTTTCTATGGGTATGCGTCAAAATACTGACAAACAGCTTGACTTTTGGGGCACACAACAACTTCTGAACACCTCGGATGCCTCGGGCCCCGTCAGCATGTCAAAAAGCGCCTGGGTTGGGTGAAAGCAACTTGTTTAAGCAACTTTCACCCATGGGTTCTAGGAGTGCTCCTAGGTGAGTGCTCCTGAACATAGGTGAGTGCTCCTAGGTCCTTTTGAAACCACCTGGGTTGGGTTGTAAGTTGACCCAGGTCCTTTTAGAGTGTTCAACATACAATCTGAGTGTTGACATGGCATCCACAAAATGCTGCGTCAGATCGTTGTGTGCTTTGTCAACTTAGGGACCCGTCTTTGGGCTGGGGCTCACTTCAAAGATAGACGGATTCAAAGAAACACTAGAAAGGCTCATCACATAGCAGATTGACTTGAAGATGCGTCAGCACAAACTAAATAGGTTGGTCTAACAAAATGTGTAAGGCATAAACCACTCCCTAGCAAGTAGCCCCACTACCCACGGTTAACGTTGTGTAGCCTGCCCAACCAACTAGAGCAATGCCGACACAGTTGACCTTCCTATGCCGGTGACTCAGACTTCCAATGATGGTCGCCATGTCGCACCGATTCAACGAACGAAAAAACGATGAGAACCAAAGTGTAGGTGGAATGCATCTCTTTACAGTTTAAGCTTTTTGGGTCCTTACTAAAATGCCGAAGACATCTACCACAAAAAGTTTACAGTTTGGAAACTGAACAGGCAAGTCAATACCACCAGAAAGGATACCTAATCTCCCTGGAAAAGAGCCAGATCAACCCAAGTAGCTAACCGCTAACTTGGCAACGGACATCCAAGTAGGCTTCCAAAACACCCGCTTCTATTTGCTTGAGACCCCCTGGACAAAAAATACAAATCAACAAATGTGTCCCGTAGTGATGGATTCCCTTCAAAAACCCACAAAACACATGAACACATATCTTCATTTCAGCAAATAGAAAAGCAGCAAAGCACAGCCTCCACTTGTGCACTCCAGCCATCGAACATCGACGCAAACGAGCCGCCCGAGCCCGCGCCTTTTGGCCACCCAGTTGAAGCCCGGCAGCGCCCGCATGCGATGGCAGATCCGCATGGCGCCCTGGGCGAAGGGCTCCCTCTCGAGGCGCACCAGCACCTGAAACGGTTGCGAGAGAGAGATGCGAGGCCAAACAGACATGGAATGAACCCAAGGAAAACCCTCCAACTGGTGGATTCCAGCACCTGTGAGACATGGAATGACCAACCCTCCAACTGGTAGAAACACCAATTCAATGGTGGTTTTGACCACGGAAAACCATCCAACTGTTGGTTTCCTTCAAGGGGACCCCCTAAAGGAAAAAACGATCGGTGAAACTCAAGGCTCCCTTTTTACCAACCAATATAATCTCTGGGAAACGAGACAGGGAAAGATATGAAAAATATTAACTTGTAATCTTAGGAATCTTCTCTCTTTACTATCTGGGAATACGTCTGGGGTGCGAGAGATGCCGGGAAAGAGACATAGAATGACCCCAACAAAACTATTCAATTGGTGGTTTCCTTTAAGGGCATAAGGGGACCCACATAAAGGAAAAAATGATCGAAAATATGGATTTCTGCAGATTATGGTTGGGACCTTGATCTACCCGGATCGGTTTTGAGGAAATCTTTTTTGTCAGGGGCCACATGACTTTTTGTCTCAAACCCTTGATTGCTGTTCACCCTCTGCAAGCAGTGGTTTCACACGTGGCTTCAATTCGGCCAATACAATCAAGTCTTGGTTTGCCGAAAAAACAAGAGTGACATGTTGATCCGTTACCCAGCAATCAAGAAGAGGGCCAAGAAAGAGACCAAGTCTTGGTTTTCCGGGAAAAAAAAGGGAAACAACTAACTTAATCCGCTACCCATTCGCCATCAAGAGGGCCCAAACACGTGGCTCTTCCCACCGCCTCAGAGCAGGCCCAGCCATAGGCGGCCCAGCGCCGGCGCACCGCGCGCTCCAGTGGGAAGACGGACAGCTTGGACTGCCAGGGGTCCGCGAGCTCCGAGACCTGCGGGGGGCAACACCACCCCAGCCATGTGGAGCGTTTTTTGGGCGAACTCCCGGCGAATTTCATGGGTGAAACGACCCTTTTTTCATGGTAGAGGGAAACCAAACGGAAACCCGCCTTCTTTCTTTTTTTCGGGGAGGGAGGAGGGGGGTCCCCTAAAAGCATAGTTTGATGGTTGCGAAATCCATTTCGTTGAGTCCATGTTGTGCTGGTAGTTACAGGGGAATCATCATTCCAGGTGCTGTAGATGGTGCGAAATGGATTCCGCAACCGTCCACAGTAGGGATGTGTCTTATAGGGGTACCCCAAAAATGGCTTACTTTCCTTTTTGGTTTCCCATTGAAACGGATGGCCGACTAAATGGTTCCCTAAAAATATGTTTAAACTTTAGATTAGTTTGGATGGGTTTTATGCCATCTGTTTACCAGGGACATCCTTCTATTTAAAGCCAAGGGGACACCCAGAAAACCTGGAATGATGGTTCCCCCCGCAAATACCAGCAAACATTGCTTCCATTTTGTTGGCCAACGGTTTCAACGGAAAACCAAAAAAGAACCTAACCATCTTTGGGATACCCCGTCTTTTTAAGACATAGCCACATGGAAGCCGTGCTTCCAGTTGGGTGGCTTGAAATCCTGCTTTTGCTGATGACACTTTTTTTGGCGGACGCGCCAATGGCGAGGGTCCGATTCCTATTAAGACAAACCCACTTTCCGTGCTTCCACTTATCCCCTCCCTCGAAGAGGATTGTCTTGTTTTTTGTTGGTACCCCTTTTGGGGGTTGGAAACAAAGGGAAACCAAAGGAACACCCCCGATTTTGGGGGTCCCCCTATTTTTGACACAGGGAAACCCAACTGAAAGCCATCAACTCATCATGAGTAGGTGAGCTAGGCCCAGTTGTAGAATGTATATTTCATTGTTTGCTTCACGTTGAGTCACTGGCAAAATGTAAAATGCATCCTAAGTCCACCCCAGTCATAGGGTCCCCTTAGTTTGACACAGTAACAAAAGTTCCATCCTCTCCCTCCAATAAAAGCTGCCCATCGGGTTGAAGACTATTTTTCTGTTGGGGAGCCATGTCCACTTCCGTGAGTGTTGCAAAGATCGCTTCCCTGACCCCTAGAAATCCCCTTCACCTCACCTTGCCTTCACATCCATGGTGTCAAACAGATGAGAAATAGCCTCTTCCTGTTTCAGTTCGACAAATAACGAATCTCGAAGACCCGCAAACCCACCTGGTTGCCTTTAAAGAGAAACCTCTTCCTTCAAGGAAAAGACTGGTCACTGAGGGTCTGGGATGGGCCACCACCCCAGTTGCAAGACCTCAGTTGCCCGGACAGGAAACAACTTGGCACCCAAAGCAAAACCAGAAGGTCAGATCCGTTCGATTCTCTTTGAGCCGTAATAAACCCGAGGCGATTCGACTTCCGTCCAAGAACTATTTCACATCCCTTTTACATCCCTTTTACATCCCAACAAACCATGTGAGTTTCCAATGATGCTTGTCCAAATCACATGCCTGCGGGTCAAAAACATGTACCCAAAATGGCTTGCCCTGGTACGTGGAAACTTGGACTACAGCCTGCGGTCCAATTCCTGGTGGTTTAATTTTGACCCATACCCACATTTGTGGTTTTCTCCATTTGCTTCAGCAATACCATCCCTCCCATTCGCTTGGGTTCCCCAACGGAACCTGATCGATTCCAATCCATACGAACCTCAGTTGCCCAAAGGTCCCAGAAACAAAAGGTTCACCTTTTGGGACCTTTACGAAAATAGACCAAACTCGGAAAACCAAAAGCTCAAAAGCTCGGGTTTGGGTCCCCAACTGAATACGAATCTGCCCGATCGATCCACCGAAAAACCGCGAAGGCGCCTTATGGAAGGCACTGTGCCACCGCTCACGTGGATGCACCCGGCGCTTGCTCGAGTCCACCGGGTGCACGTGGACCTCGGCGCCTCAACGGCGCGGAAAAAAGAAAAGAAAACACAGACCTCCATTTGTGCGTTTTTTCGCCCCCTGCACAAAAAAAAGAACTGCTTTCCAGCAGTGAATTTGTGCTTTCTCGTCCCCTGTCAAAAGACATACGCAGATTTCCAGTAGTGATAGAGTCCCTTTGAAACCAACAGGGGGAAGTAAACAAAAAGTCTTAAGCACAGCCATAAAACTTAAAAAAGAGAAACACCCAAATGGATTCACATTCAATCCCAATATGAGAAGGCCTGCGGGCCAACGAAGATGCACTTGTTTACTGGTATAACAATATTCATAATGTGCCCTTTCAGTGGGTTTAACAGGAATACAAAGGAAAAACCAACATGTTGAGGGTCCAACAAGAAAGACAGGCTAGTTGTTCGGGGGTAGTGGAGTGGGCCCCCCTGTTCCACTTTGTGCAGAGGGTTCATACACTCATAAAGGAGGATGTTCACAAATCTGCCTTTGCAAAAAGCAGGGTCAACCTGCCAGAAACCATACCAATGTTTGGTCTAAGATGGTGTCCAGCCCCAAGGGAAATGGAGTATCATCACTTACAGCGCATATACCACATTTTTGCTCGGTACAGTAGTGGGTTCCCCTCCTAGACTTGTTTTCTTGTTGGATTCCTTCGGCCCACCCTTTCCCCTCGAGGGTGGGTTTGGGGTACTCATCCTCTAACACGGAGCCTGACTTGGGACCTCTGGTGGGTTCCATGTTGGTTGGTGGAAGTGTGTGCCTTGCCGGGTGGCAAACTGATACCAAAGAGGAGCCACTTGGGATGAAAGTGGAAGAACCACTACACACGGCTATAGAGTCCTGTGCCGCGCTTTCCCTTTGCTTGAGGGCGGTGGAGGTTGACCTGCTGTACGGAACACCACAAAAGGTTTAAATCCCTTGAACATGACATGCAGATTGACAGGAATGGCAGACTTAACACTAGCCAATGCGCCCAGGTCAACACCAAGCATTTGTAGCAGTTGCGTCATGAGGACCCATTCTCAGATGATTGCCCAGTGGATTTCCATGGGGGGAAAAAATGATCGGCATCCTTTTTGGTTGGTTGAGTTCAAAGGGGAACCCTTCCCCAGAAAAAAAAAAAGGTTGAAAAAAGGGCGCGCCACTGGGCAACAGAGCATTTGAAGTGTGGCACAATCCAAATTTTGCTGCAATCCATCAAGATAACTTTGAAATTTTGTGTGGCACCGTTGACGATGCCCCGAATTGGCTGCCCTACCCACCCGAAATCAGTGGATTTCGGAGGATTGTCAGCATCTGCTTGTGGAAAACTGTAACGGCGACTGCTACGCCTCCAACAAAAGCTGCAATTCTTGCTTGTCAGGACTGACTTCCTTTCTTGAAGGGATACACTTGTCGTTTCAATTTGCTACAGCACACTGTGCCTCAAAATACAACAGTTGCGTGCTGAGCCTGCTGGGCGTTTGCACGGATCCTCTGCTTGGAAATGATCTACAGTCGCCGATGGCCAAGTGTCCAAATGCCCATTTCGCTTGTTTGGCGGCTTCTGGGGCATATGGCTGTGTGTATGTGTGCGTGTGAACACGGGGGACCCAAACAAATATGTCCTCCTTGTCCCTTTAAGCCGAAATGCAAACGAATACCATCCAAAAAAAGAAGAGCACAAAGCAAATATCTACACCCGCAACCAAGACCAGGATTCCGGTGTCTGAGCCAGGCACAGTCGTCACATACCGTGGAAAGCCATTGCAAGCTCGTGCCCACAATGCCTCAGAACATCTCTCAGAACCACGAGAGGCCAATTTCCCAATTTGCGGGTGCTCTAAAAATTGGCAACCGCAGTTGGATATCATGTATACCCGGAAAAGATGGGGAACAAACACGCCTTTGTCAGTATGGGGGCCATTTTTTTAGAAAACAGCCCCAAATCTGCGACGTGCCGCGTGAATTCGACGTGTCAGAAAAAGGCGCGGTTCCTTGCGGCAAGCGTCTCATGGCCTTCCCCATACCGTGCTTCCGAGCGATCCTCGGACAGCGTCCGAAGCAGGCGCCAAGGCGGGGGATTCCAAGCCCAAGGCGGGGAATTCAGAACAAGTTTTCATTGGGTGCCGGCTTTTCCCTGAACGTCAATATGTGGGATTTGACCCTAAGGGGCGGTTTTTTGTAAGCCATGTTTACGAACGAAAGGCGAGAGCTGGGAGCTGATTCTTTCACGACCTGCATGGAGCTCAGCTTTGGGGGGGGGGGGGCCAAAAAGCCATTGACTCGAAAGGGCCAAAAGGCTCCCGCCCAAAGAAAAAAACCTTGGGAGACCTTTGGGAGCTTACCCCAAGATCGACGCAGCAGTTGAACCAAGAATCCAGGGCTGAGAGGTTGCGGAACTTCTTCAAAATGGTCCCCTACCATGGTCTATGTCCTTTGGTTTCGGGTGCACCCTTTTAAGAAGCAATGAAAAGGGTCGCATATAGCCGCAAAGCGGCAAGTGGCCATGGACTAAAGGGGTTGATAGGCATCGCTACTGATCCCAAGTCAAATTTGATCACACATTTCAAATGTGGGCCCAGGCTGACTTTACGTGTTCAAGAACAAAAGCAAAAACGATAGTCGCTACCCGGGAACTCGGTTGCCTCGAAACCAAACATGCGCCCCACCTCGCCTTGTGCCAACCTTCCCTGAATCCATCTAAATAATACTGGCCTCATTCTTTTACCATGATCAAAGTCACCCCCGGAGTGGTGGTTAAATGGAAACAACCCCGTTTTCTGACTTTGATAACCCCCAGAAACAGTCAAAATCAAGCCTGGTAATATTGTAGTTAAACAGAAATGCCCACACCTAACAACTAGCAGGCAAGCCTCTTGAAGGTAGGAATTCCAATTGGGAACGTTCTGCAGGCGGACATGAGTGAGATCAGTCTCTGGGCACATTGCTACCTAGTTACCCAACAGACCCGGAAATAAAGTGGAAGCAACAAATAATGGCTGCTTTTTGGCAGGCCCTATTGAAAATCCCACAGAACCGAGAATACCAAAAAACTGGACGAATCTTTGGATTCCTTGGCATGGCAGCAAAAAAAACTGACCCTTCTTGCAGGCCACTACTCAAAAATAAACAGACCCCAAAAGCAAAAGAAAAGAACAAAAACACCCAAAAACAACTTGGCCCAACAAGAGAAAGTCAAAAAAAAAAAAAACGCCACCAAAAGCAACAAACAACACCAAACTAACTTGGTCCAACAAGAGAAAAATTTGAAAACCACGCAACCACAAGCAACAAACAACACCAAAACAACAAACAACACCAAAACAACTTGGTCCAACAAGAGAAAAAAGAAAAAAAAGCAACCAAAAGCAACAAACAACACCAAACCAACTCGGTCCAACAAGAAAACAAGTTGAAACCCCGCAACCAAAAGCAACAAACAACACCAAAACAACAAACAACACCAAAACAACTTGGTCCAACAAGAGAAAAAGTTGAAAACCCCGCAACCAAAAGCAACAAACAACACCAAAAGCCAAGCAACACCAAGACAACTTGGTCCAACAAAATAAAAAGTTCAAAAAACCCGCAACCTAAAGCAACAAACAACAAAACAACTTCGTCCAACAAGAGAAAGTTGAAAAACCCGCAACCAAAAGCAACAAACAACACCAAACCAACTTGGTCCAACAAGAGAAAAAGTTGAAAACTCTGCAACCAAAAGCAACAAACAACACCAAAACAAACAACACCAAACCAACTTGGTCCGACAAGAGCAAAAGTTGAAAACCCCGCAACCACCAACAACAAACAACACCAAAACAACAAACAACACCAAAACAACAAACAACACCAAAACAACTTGGTCCAACAAGAGACAGCTGAAAAACCCGCAACCAAAAGCAACAAACAACACCAAACCAACTTGGTCCAACAAGAGACAAAGTTGAAACCCCCGCAACAAAAAGCAACAAACAACACCAAAACAACTTGGTCCAACAAGAGAAAAAGTTCAAAACCCCGCAACCACAAGCAACAAACAACACTAAAACAACTTGGTTCAACAAGATAAAGTTGAAAAACCCGCAACCAAAAGCAACAAACAACACCAAAAAAACTTCGTCCAACAAGAGAAAAAGTTGAAAAACCCGCAACCAAAAGCAACAAACAACACCAAACCAACTTGGTCCGACAAGAGCAAAAGTTGAAAACCCCGAAACCACCAACACCAAAACAACTTAGTCCAACAAAAGAAAAAGTTGAAAAACCCGCAACCGAAAGCAGGAAACAACACCAAACCAACTTGGTCCAACAAGAGAAAAAGTTGGAAACCCCGCAACCAAAAGCAACAAACAACACCAAAAGCAACAAACAACACCAAAACAACTTGGTCCAACAAGAGAAAAAGTTGAAAACCCCGCAACCAAAAGCAACAAACAACACCAAAACAACTTTGTCCAACAAGAGAAAAAGTTGAAAACCCCGCAACCAAAAGCAACAAACAACACCAAAAGCAACAAACAACACCAAAAGCAACAAACAACACCAAAACAACTTGGTCTAACAAGAGGAAAAGTTGAAAACCCCGCAACCAAAAGCAACAACACCAAACCAACTTGGTCCAACAAGAGAAAGAGTTGGAAACCCCGCAACCAAAAGCTACAAACAACAACAAAAACAACAAACAACACCAAACCAACTTGGTCCAACAAGAGAAAAAGTTGAAACCCCCCCCCAGGACCATGGACCAAGCATCATCAGCAGCAATTGCGAGTGGATCTGCTGCAGGTCCCCGACCGTCTTCCCCAAGAACATCCCATCCAGTCCGCTGCGAGCCATGGGGAAAAAGGGGCTTCATCTACGCCTAGGTCCTCCGGATTGGAGAGGTTTGAGTAAGATGGTACCAACTCTTTTTTGTAGAGGGTAGAATGAGTTGGTACCTCTTGTTTGTTCTCGTTTTTTTTTTCCCGGTTTTGTCTATTTTGGTAGGGTCCCGAACCCTCCCAACCAAAAAAGAAACCGGTACCAGGGCACCAACTTGCCGGGGGACCAATTGCAGAGGTTCCAGCCGGAGATGCTCAGCCCATGTTGGGCCCAGGAACTCGAAGCCGAGGCGCGGGGGCCCCGCAACTGGGCTGCAGCCACGAGCTGTTCGGTTGTTCTCTCTGGAGGCAAACCAAAAGGGCATGCAAAAGAAACCCACGAAGGGGGAATTCTTTGCAGCTGGTCCCATCCCAAGCCTGTTTTCAGCTGGTTTCTACTGGTCGGAAAACCGGGTTGGGCCAACGAAGGGGTCGCGCTTTGGCTTCCAAACAGCCGGCTGGCTGTCAGCGTAGCTGACGAAAATGCTGGTGAGGGACAAACGAACAAGTGGGGATACGGAGGGAGCTGGGATATGAGGGGATTCCCTTGGCACCATTTCCCATATCAAACTTCGTCAAGGTGCATTTAGGGCCCTCCCGTATCCCTGCTTCCCCCTGTATCCCTGCTAGTTGATTTCCCTCTAAAGGGTTGGAATGGCAGCTTGAAAGGGAAGATGAAGAGACAGTCTGGGAATGTTAGGTCTGGGGTGCACACGGCATGATTGTGAACCCAAGAGTCGAGGCAAAATGCCAAATAGGATCAGCAAGTAAGCAACCTTCGTTTTGAAGACAATAAGCATATCAAAAAAGCAGTTTCCACAAAACGATGGGTGACCTTGTCACGCTCCGTGTTGCTTTACATTTAATCTGTGAAAGTGTCTTTTTCTTGAGGGTACCTGTTTGTTTGTGTTCTCCCGGGAACCGAAATTTCCAACTCTGTGTGGGACCTTCGCCGTCGCTATGCCTTTGCCCAACGACACATGGCAAACGTGCTTGTCAGTCATGAAACTCTCTCTTCTGTGCACATGCCACAGCTAGCAACTCAAAGCAAAAGGTCGCACACACACATGCACTGTGTCTGCGCTGACTTCCTCTGATCTCGCGGCCACAGCACGTAGCATGTACTTGCCTGTCAGCGGCAGCAAGGGCATCTAAGGAAAGAAAGAAAGAAAGAATTCGAGAAATAAATGGAGTTGTTGAAGGGAAGTAACGTGCCCCTGCGGAACGTGCCCCAGCTCCGTTTCACGTTCCATCTTGGACTCAAGACAATTCGGGGCCAGGTGTAGTTGGATGGCCCGGTGTAGTCAGATGGCCCGAGTGAATCCAATAGCGACTCTGCTTGAGGTTCCCTTTGGTTCTACCACAAACGGGCATATGTCGAAACTGAACGGAAACCTTAAGCAAGCCAAGCTTTTGGTCCAATCACGAGAGCTACGCACAAATCAGCCATGATCGGAAAGGTTCATGTACGGAAACCCAACTTGGACTTTAATTGAGAACCATAATGAAATGTGGGGCTTCCCCTGAGAAAGCACATGAATGTGTCCTTTTTTAGGGGACCCAAAACATGGTCGGTTTCTGGTTTCCCTTCAAACCAACCAGGCAAGGGTACCATGAACAGAAAAAAAAAAAAAAAAAACTACACACCCATGAACATTCCTTGGTTGACCACGCCAAACCCACGGCAAACCAAAAATTACTTCGGCTTCGAACCATACCGGGCTTCCGCGCCGGTCAATCCGAGGGACCTAAGCAGGACACAAGGGGTCATCCAACTTATCGAAGAAACCAGGAAACTCTCCAGGTTTCTTCGACCCGCGGCTTGGGCGATGTCTTCATTCGAGAATTTCTTGGAGATGGTTTCTTAGAACTTGGTAGGTTATAAATTGAGCTATAGCCATTGTTATAACCTCGCTTCCTGACTGGATGGTCGAAAAAATATGCGCTTGTTGTTTACCACTAAACTGGCCCCAACAAGTGACTAAAGTGCGAAAAGCAACTCAGGGAGTGGTTTCACCCATAGCCACTGATGTTGCATGGTGGGTTCCGTCCATTTAGGCTGCGCAAGTAGTAGCGGTCAATCAACAAACCATTTGTGCCATGGGACATCATGGCGTAGATGGTCTAGATCAAGGGATGCGCAGACCATAAAATGAGACTCCAAGCAGGGCGGGGTGAGACCAAGGAACATTTGATTGCTTCGTCGGCATGGAGTCCCGGCCTAGGTTTCCATGGATGAGTCGCGAACCAAATGACTTTAAATGAGGCATGTGGCTTTAACATAATATCAATACATACATATATATATATATATATATATATATGTTTCTTTGTTTGTTGACAGGGATGCATGTATGTATATATAGAGAGAGAGAGAGAGAGAGCGGTCACACGCCCAAGGCATGGTCATGGCTCGCTCAAAGGATTCCATATCAGGATTGTCAATTCACCAATAACCAAGAAAAAGAGCAGTTCCAAATCGACACATGTCACTTCCTGAGTGGGTGGCCAGAACAAAGTAACCATCTAGAGTAACTTCTACGGGGTGAATCCAGATTCCCACACGTTTCTAGAAAGAAAGCCTGGAAGGAATAAAGCCCCTGGAAAAAGAACAAATCTCAGGTGATATCCCCAACAGCATGCAGTGCTCTTCCTAGTGCTCGCACCACCCCGCAGCCCTCGCAGAACCTCTGGTGGAACCCTGGTGGAACCTTACCACCCCGGAGCCCATCTGGGCTGAGACCCCAAAGCTTTCAGCTGTTGGGGAAAAAAACAGTTTCTACCTCTGCCCCGAAATGCCCCTCTAAAGCTCCAACCCAATAGTCGTCAAGAACTCTGTTTCACATTTAGACCCCCCAAAATCTGGAATGGGTGTGAGCGTGTTTTCTGAGGCTGCCCTGTTCTAGCTTGTCCAAAGGGACAGAGGGAAACCGCTGATTTGGGGACCCGCGTGGACGAAATCCACCTCGCACAAGTTGATAAGTGGTGTTAACAGGCTTCATCCATCTCAGGTCTTTCCTTTCTGCGGGGGACCCAAACAAAATGCTGTCTTCCTTTGGTTTCCCTTTAAACAGACCAACAGCGGGTACACTCAAGCCTCAAAAAAGGACAGACCCAACTAAATTTGGAGGATACCCCCAGTTGCTGAGCTCCGCGCCTTGTCTTCCACGAGGCGACCTGGCGTTTTTTTGTTTTTCTTCCCAGCCACGCCATCCATGCGCACAAACCAGCAAACACCTCCAGTTCCCTCCGATTTCCGCCTTGGGAGGGTTTAGAGCATTTACGTACCTCCTGATGGCTTGTCGGGCGTGAGGGATCTACCCAAGGTACTAAGCGGGCCCGGAATTGGTGGGAAGGCGTTGGTTTTCTCGAGTGAAAGATGAAGGCAATCCCAAAAGTGTGTGGATCCTGAAATGCAATGGGAAGGGACAAACAATTACTTGCATCCAAAGTGGGACTTTAGTTGGACCTGGGCTCCCCTTGGATTGTCTCCATATCCTCCCCAAGCCAACAGAAGACTACCGACATGTTTGTTGTAGGTTGCTCATTCCTTTCCTGAGTTGGCAAGTGTTTCATAGAAGTAGAGGCTGAAAGGAGGAAGCTTCACTTGAATGTCTCCTCCAAATCGGGCGAAACGAGAAATCGCCGCAAGCCAGCGGTCTTCCAAGGGCTCGCCGAGTCCAAAGGTTTTGGAGCCAAGCCATCGGGGTGTCCATCGAGACTTCGACTTTGCCAGACTTGCAACAAACAATGCGGCGAACCTGTGGCGCGAAATGAAGGAAAGCCGAAAAGCCAAGTCTTTCAGAGTCAAGTCTAAGGCTTTGTGCTGGCAATTGAAAACAAACAGAGTCGTGCAACGCCCTTCGGAACGGGCAAAACGCCTTGGCAATGCTTTGGGCCTTCAAAACTTTTACCTCCAGGGCTCGCTAGCGCTTTTGAGAAGACTGCCACCGGCAAATTTAGTGATGACATCCTGTCGAGGTGAGTCCGTCAAATAGGCAGTTATTTTGAAAGACGATGTCAAACGAGATCCTATGATTCCCATGAGATTTGGAACCACCCTTTCCCAGAAACATGGCTGAGTCTGGTCGTTGAGTAAACCTGGAAACGTCTAACAAGCATAGAATCGAGTGATTTCTTCCAGGTCAGGCGAATCCTGACAAAGGACAAAGACCTCCTTTGATCACCCTGCCTTTCAAAATCCCCATCATCAGAGTTAGGCCAGTTATAGAATGCACATTTTATTGTTTGCTTCACTTTGAGTCACTGGTAAATTGTACAATGTATTCTAAGTCTTCCCCAGTCCCCAGGGCTGCCCAAAGCAGTGCGGTCCGCCTGTGACTGGCGGCTCCATGTCCTCAAACACATCACAGGCGCGCCATTCACGCCTGCCAGGAAGCCGACCACCCCCCGACAACTCGCCCCGCGAACTCGAAAGGGAACGCTTGACCCCCGCTCCAAAACCCAAGCAAAAACACGTAGAAAAGGTAGGTGAGACAAAAACCACCCGGAAAACAAAAAAAGTGAACAATTGTTGGACTCTTGGCTAAGAATGGATGAAAGCTGGCTGGCCAAAAGACCAAACCGTCAGTCCGCAGGAGCTCAGCGCAAACTCTCGATCTCATCTTGCCGAGTTCGAGGGGAAAGTTCGGTCGCGACCGAGTGACCTGACTGTTTCTGTTCCAAGGGCACGTTTTAAGCCCAGCAGTTGGAGTGCTCGATTCTTCGCGGAGGAAGATCCAGAGCGAAAATCGTTGAAGCGCTGGTCTGAGGATGGCCTTTGCCCAGCTTGTCAAAGCAGGGATCCTTACATGATACACCTGAACGTTGCCTTGCAAATGGTGTTGAAAACGCCATGTTTCAAATGGGCAAAATGTATCTTTTCAGGAGGTCCGTAAAGGTTTGCGCACGCACATGATGCACAAACAAAACCGGTCCAACATACCAAGGTCATTCCTATCTCGAAATGTGCTGTGC